GATATTTCCCACAGTATTGCGCTGTGGTCGCTGGCTGTATAGGTGTTTATCACTTCCCAAGAAAAGCTTCCTCTAGTTAGACTGCTGCTGACGAACGTAAAATCCACTATTGAGCTTGCCTCTCCTTTTGAATATGTTGGTGTCTCACCGGTGTTAAGAAGGACAACATCTAGTGTGGCCATTGCCTCGAGTAGTGCCTTTCCCCGTGGATTAGTCAACTTGCTACCCCAGTCTATCGCCCAGGAGTTGAAGTCACCGGCTATTGCTACGGGGTAATATTGTCTTGCATCCTCGATTAGCCGATCAAGGAAATCTGCGAATTGCTCAGTAGAGAGACTTGGCGGTGCATAGCAACTGTAGAAACGTATACCGTCTACCCATGCTGCTACAAATCCAGCTTCTCTATTATTTATTGCGTCCTGGAAAGGAGATTTGCCACAAGACCAGATGACAGCTTTGGTGGTGCTGTCCGATTCCCAAGGTTGGGTATTCAGGTGTTTGTATGGCTCTGCTATTAGTACTAGGTCTAGCTCAAGTTCGCGCGCGGTCTGCATGAGCAGGTCGTGCGCAGCCTCACAATGATTGAGGTTGAGTTGTAATATCTTCATGTTCTTGTGTTCGTTATCTTCTGGAGCGCTTCTTGGAAGGCCGGGCATCTGAGTGCCTGCATGGTGGGCAGCCTTCTCTGCGCCGTGACGTTCAATGCACAGTACGCATTTAGCTGGGTTTTTACAGTCAGCGATCTTGTGCCCTTCTTGCCCGCATCTGATGCACAGATTAGACCGGTTCACTTCACTTTTACACTGGGAACCAAAATGTCCAAAGTTCCAGCATTTGAAGCATTGGATCGGTCTCTTTGTTGCTCTTATTCGGCAGTTGACCCAACCGATCCTTATTTTGCCGTTTCTTCCTAGCAGTGTCTGAGCTAGAACCGCTGGTAGAGTCACTGTAGCAGTCTGAGTACCTCTGTAGGCCTTACGGATCTTGATTGCCTCCAGTGGTATCTCACAATTTCCCCCAGCTTCTTTTCGTAGAGCGGTCTGGATGTCTTCTTTCGTTGTCGTGTCATCCACGTCTCGTATCTCGATGACTTCTTGCGGTCCTTTGCAGATTACTTCAGCGTCCTCTTTGAGGATGCCCGCAATGGCCTTCTGCAATGCTTGACCTTTGTCAGTGCTCTTCTTCGAAAGGGTGATGAGCATGTCACCGCTCTTGGTCTTAAGGATCTTTTCTACAGACGAGCGGGCCTGGTCATCATGGACGTCCATCTTTATTCGCCGCAGGATGTCAGCGTATTTCTCCTTCTGGGCTGGTCGGATAATAAGAGCATCCGGTCTGATCCATTTACGCGGTTTCTTTCGCTTGGGTTCAGGTCGGGGTCCCGTTGGCGGCTGCTTTGGGAGCTGCTCCTTTCTTTGCTTCTTCAGTTCTTTCTTGGACTGAACTATCTGCCAAGCAGTCGTCTTTTTATGTTCGCCGCTCTGCACTGTTGCCCTTTGCAGTGGGCTCCTCTTCAAGTTCTTCCTCTTCGTGACTTGGCTGACCGTTGGGTCCGGAGAGGTTCGGTACTTTCTCTTATTAGACTTGGTGCCAGTTTCGCTTTTGTCTCCAGCGACAGATTCATTGTCACCATCGACTCCAGTGTCCATTGCTTCTTCCGTCTCAGCAGTAGGTTGACTGCTTTTCTCCGGAGTAACACGGGGAGTGAGTCGTCGAGATGACTGCCATTCTTCATCCAGTGTTTTAAACCTTTGAAGGGCGTTAACTACACTGGTTGTCTTGGTCTTTATCTCCTTATGGATGTTGACCTTTGATTTGACAAACTCATGCAATTCGCTGGTCAGCTTTCTAAGGCGTTCCAGCGCTTGCGTTCTCTTCATTTCAGCGTTTGCTGTAATCGCTGCTTCTTGGGCCCACTAAAATTCTTGTTTATTTCCTGATTCTTCTCCATTCTTTTATTTTTGTTTTACCAGCGCATCGTACGGAGTGGAGCGGGTTGTCATAACTAGGAACGGGTGTACCCTCGGAGATAGTACTCCTACCCCAGTCCTCTGAGGCCTAGTCGACACTTAGCCAGTCCCGGAATACACGGACTGACTAGACTCGCTCGGGGCGGTGAAGATCCGATATCTATCACTCACTGCGTACTTCCTGATCAAGGCCCGAGGTGACTGGCTCCTGATCCACTGCTGCAACTTACACCTCGGCAGAGCAAGCTCACATCAGCTGTAGCCCGCATCGTCGGAAATAATCGACACGGGTTCCTGACACTCCCAGTGAGTTACAGCAGGGAACGATCGTCTTGCACGATCAGATGGAGTGACCGAACCCTTCATAGGGGAGTTTGTTTCACGGGAGCGTATTTTATTTAACTCCTACCTTCTGTACCTTATCAACTGAGAGACTTAGTCTCTTAGTGTCATCCAAGGACAGCGAGCGTTCTCCAATTCTCATGGAGACGCGCCTGGTAGCAGTTTCTCTTCTGCCGCAGGTGTGCGTGCGTGCGTGCGTGCGTGCGTGCGTGCATGCGTGCGTGTGTGTGTGTGTAGGTCCAGGAGCAGTTTCCAGGACATTTGACTATAACGGCAGGTTCCAGGACATTTTACTATACATATCTAATGGTAGTTTCCAGTACATAGACTACTTTATTGAATATCTGTATATATATTAGATTAATAATATTATAAATGTATTAATAATACTATATATATTCAATAAGGTGGTCTATTTACTGGAAACCATTATTAGATATGGATAGAAAAATATCACGGAACCTGTCATTATAGTCGAATGTTCTGGAAACATATGCTGTCTCTGAATCTACCAATCTGTGATTGTCCCGGAAACTGCCAAATTAGGTTTTTTTTCGGAACAAATAAGAATACATTTGCTTCATTTAAATAAAAAATAAAAAACAGTAAAAAAGATATTTTAAAAATATTTTCAATATTTACTATGTATTGTTACGTCCGTGCCGTGCGCTCATGCGGGTCGCCCGTAGCAAGAGTTGCGAACCGTCAAAGTTGCGAATCGTCCTTAGCGACAGTTGTCTTGTTTACAATTGTGTCTGTCACATTTCGCTCTGGAATTTCGTCACGTTCGGACGTGTTTTCCCGGGCTCTCTGTATTGGCAAGTTGCAATAAATAAGTTCCTTTTCCTAAAACTAACGAGCCTTACTTTCTTGCGAGTGAGTCGGAATACGCGTCGCGCGTGTGAGTGAGTGACAAAGTGCGGCGGACGCGCGACGAGCGTAACAGTATTATAGTAGATATTAATAATACTTGTAATATAAATAATAAATACAAATAACAATTACAAATAAATATTACATTATATAAACATAATAATTTAAATAATATAATATAATTTAATTATTCTGTTTTGCTACTGCTTAACATATGTATATTCATTTATATACGAATGTCCAGAGGTATGTTCCAAGACTGTTTACGTTTTCTAAAATATACAGTCCTGGAATATACCCTCACATTTGTATAACAGATTTGAAAACTGTTCTGGAAACTGCCGTAGGACTTAAATTTTTTTCCAGGACAGTCCTGGAAAATGCCAAATGTCCT